AGTCCCGCCACCCAGACATCAATTCTGGAACATTCCAGAGCCTTTGTCCTCGCTGCACATCCAGGACGGCCTTTGGAAAATGTCTTCGAGTCGTCCCCTCCGTAGACCTTCCCCAAGCCCCTGCCACACCCAGAATCAAGCCCCACTCTGGCCCTGCCCGCAAGGCCTGTGCACATGGGCGCCCACCTCCTGCCCAACTCTGCTAAGGCTCCCTTTGCCATCCAGGGCCCGCTGCCCACGGTCCTGCCCCAGATCTGCCCAGGAGGCCTTTGATGACCACCTAGCTCAGCTCCACACAGCCTTCCCACCACAGTCCCTGGCTGGTCCTCAGCAGGCACCTGTCACTTTAAGAGTCCTCACTGATCTGGCAAATGCCAGGAAGCAATGTCAACTTCCACACAGCACTTCACAGTTTACAAACCTGACCACCTCCTCCCCCCACAGCCTCCAGACTGCTCTGGGAGAGAGCCAGGGCGAGGGGAGCCTCGCTACTCCCACTTAAAAAGAGGCCACCAGAGGTGACATGTGGCTGCCACAGTCACCCAGGCAGGAAGCAGACCAGAGCGGCTCGAAGAGATGCCACAGAGCGCTTGACTCCAGGGTCCATCGCTGGGTTTGAATCCCAGCTCTGCCGCCTGCTGGTGTGTGACCTTGTGCAAATGCCCTCACTTCTCTGGGCTTCGGTTTTCTACTCCGTAAAATGAAGACAACACTCAACACTCGCTCCTGCCTCATTCTGCTGTCAGGAGGACTGAGGACATAGTGACACACACCAAGGGCACAGAAAGTGCCTGGCACATATTAAATGCGAACAAACACTGGCTCTGTACACAAACGTGCCTGGCCAGATGTACCTAACCAGCGCCCGGCCCATGGCCACCCTGACTGCCGGCCCAGGAAGGCAGGTCTCACTGTGTGCAGCACAAAGTCCCCAAAGCCAGCCGCCGAGGGACTTCTGTTCTCAGTCACTCTAAGTCCCTTGCTGCTCGGTCAAGGACAGGGGAAGCTCCTCACCAGCCAGAAGCCCAGCCCCCTCGAGTGACAGCCCTGACACCTGCAACCACTTCCAGCAGCAAAGCCGGGGGCTGGGGAGGGACGAGAGCAAGGCCCCCGTGAGCCCACCCTAATGACCGGGCGCACAACCGCTCCATCAAGTGCGGATGCCAAGGAGGCCACCCACACGCCCAGGCGCGTCTCCTACCTGTCAAGAGCCTGTCTCCCTGGGCCCTCTCAGTCAAGCCCCTCGTCACCACCACGTCCTCCAGGCAAGGACCCAGGCCCACCTGACCTGAGCTGTCCCCTCTTCCGCCCCGTCCCCTCATCTGACTCTCCTCCTTCCCTGAGCAAACGCCCGTGCCCTGCCAAGGCCCTGCTCAGAGCCAACCTCCCTGAGAAGTGGTCCCCTGCCCCGAGGACCTCATCAGGCCTCGTGTGACTGTCCCACAGCCCTCAGTCCCCACCCGCAGCACATGGGCTCCACACTGAGCAGGGCATGTGTGCCAGGCAGACCCTTGAGAACCTCCATCCTCCTGCCCCAGGGGGACGCACTCCGTGACCACCTGGAACTGCTGCCAAGTTCATCAGGCAGACGGGGACGAGCCTGGCCCAGGGTGAGTCCGGTTGTCTGCCTGGGAAACAGACCTGGGGCCCAGCCAAGTGGAGCCTCACCTGAGGGTCCCCTGCTGGGTGGCAGCCCAGAGCTGGAGGCCACATGGTGGGTGAGGGGCCTGAGGAGTCCTGCTGGCAGGAGCCCTGCGGGGGGCCTCTCCCACCCCAGCCTGCACATGTTTCAGCCCAAACAGGCCCTGGATTAGAATTTCCTGTTTGAAAAATCAATATTTAAAGCACCGAGCTGCCAAGTGGAGGAGGCGGCCTTGCTTGTAAATATTCTCCCCCTGGCAAAGCCGGGCCTCCCGCTCGCCACGCCACCCGCCTGGCTGCGGCCTCTGCCGCACACACGGCTCCCAGCCAGCCGCAGAGCCAGGCCCCGCGAGGCCCAAGGGACCATCAGGCAGCCACAGGAGCTGCCTAGGAGCTGCATACGGAGGTGGGTCCGCCCTGCACCCACGTCTCCACCACCACAGGCCTGTGCGCCAGGCCACCTGGGGGCCACCCAAGGGACCGTCAGGAGCTGCATAGGAGCTGCATACGGAGGTGGGTCCGCCCTGCACCCACCACCACAGGCCTGTGCGCCAGGCCGCCTGGGGGCCACCCATCTGTCCCCCAGGGTGGGGACAGAGCCCCACTGGGAGGTTTCTCTGTATTCCCAGCAAGTGAATTCTCCCAGGGGGCTCCAGATTTCATTCCTTCTTATTTTGGAAGAAAAGCACAAAGACAAAGACAGGATTCTGGGGACGCGTAGAGATCACCGCCCACCCTTGCACACTGTATGCCAACAGCTGCCCGCAGGGGAGCCCACGTCTGGCCCCCTGGGCCCCTCCTGGGTCAGCGGAGGCTGCAGGGACCCTCACTGGGCGGCTGAGTGAGGCACGTGTCATTCGCCCCCTCGGCATTGGAGGCTGGACACAGGGAGGCCAAACAGACACGACACGAGCAAAGTCCCTCCGAGAGGAGGTCTCCCAGGCCCCATAAAAACCTCTCAGACAAATGGAAAGATGGCCAAGACGGGCGCTGGCCGCGGAGGTCCTAGGCGGGACCCGAGAGAAAGACACAGCCTGTCCCAGGTCAGGGACGGCTTTCTGGCCAGTGGAGGGTGCAGCAGAGCAGGGAGGATCGGGCGCCAGGTGGAGGGGCAGTTTCTGGAGGGGAGCCGGCCAGACCCACGTCCTCCCCGCACACCTGGCCGCCCAGCAGGCGGGACCTACCCAGCCACTCGTTGAATTTCTTCACCTCGCTCGGGAGCCCCAGCTCCGTGAAGTCCCCCGCGTGGATCAGCACGTCACCGTAGGGCATCTGGATGGGGTCGGTCCTCGAGTGGGTGTCAGAGACGCAGACAAAGCGCGTGTAGCCGGGTGGCTTGGGGGCATCGTGAGGCACCGGGTCCACCCTGTGGGCAGAAGAGACACCGTGGGTCATGGGCCCACAGAGCCGTGAGCCTGAGGGTGCTGTGGCCAAAGCCACACTCACATCCCCACAGACAGAGGGGGAGCCCCGGCCTGCCGAGGGGTCCAGATCTGGACTCTTGCTCACTGGGGACAAGATATTTTTGTGCCCTGAGCCTCCGTTTGCCCCTATGCCCGGGAATCCCAGAAGGCCACGCAGAGGGCTGAGGGAGGTGCTGAGTGAGCGCCTGGCCATCACGCTCACGTGTGGCGGAACTAAAGCAGCATCTCCCAGCCTTGTGTCCATGAGGCCCACCACGTGCTTTAACCCACAGAAGAGCTGCATCGCTAAGTAGTGTATGTCTGTCTGCACCTGGACAGATGAAGGACAAAGGGTCAGACTGTTTCACCCTCCAAAAGCCAGTTTTCACCCCTGGAGGATGCTACTGCCCCCACTGAGGATACCTGGACCAAAGTCCACGGTCCAGTCAAGCTGACCAAGGAGAGCCGTGTGGGGAAGGAGGGGTTCAAGGAGACACTTCAGTGCAGACAGGTTGCAATTTTTCAAAACCATGAGCTGGTCTGACCACTTTCAGGCCGAGAGCCTTCCAGGGGCATTGTCTCACGGCGTCAGGCACCGGATCAGGCTTCCAATCCCTCCTTGCTGCTTGTGGCTTACACGTGACCTTGAGCAAAACACACTGCCTGGGTTTGTGCCTCTGTAAAATGGAGCCACCTCCCCAGGCAAAATACTCAGAAAATTAAAGCACGGCACAAAAGTGAGTCCATTTCCTGGGGAGCCCGAGGTGGCTCTCTAGATTCATTCCCGAGGACTCAGATCCAGCAGGTGAGCAGGACCCTGAGCTCCCCAGGGCACAAGCGTGGACAGGGCTGAGGAGCCGGCTGCCCGCTCCCAGTCCAGGGCTCGTCCCCACTGGCTGCCTCCCCAGCTGGATGGCTGTGCCAGGCTCCAAACACTTAAAAACAACGCAATGACATTTCAATGAGCAGATCTCTCCAAATGAGAATGCCGCTCCAGGAGTTGTGTTTAAATCTAATTATGCGGCAAACCAAAAGCGGTACCATATCAGTTACATAAATACTTTTAAAGACATCTTTCTAATTATCCTTTTTTTCAGACAATATATTCGAAGAAATTTAATTAACACCTTACGAGAGACGTGGGAGCGGCATGCTAATGTGCAGGGAGCCCTAGCATGTGGATCTGCCGCAGGTGAAGGCGCCATGCCAGCCTCTCCCGCCACAATGTCATGATGTCACCGTGGGAGGGAGCACCTGTGGCCCCTTTCTAGGGTTGTCAAGCCAAGGCAGAATCCCAGCAGAATGGGACTGGCCCAGGCTAGTGAGCCAAGAAGCAAACCCCCTGTGAGCAGCTGATGACCAGCAGGAAGGGGCGGGCTCTCCCCTACTGTCATTCACTCATTCATTCTGCCTTTCTTCAGCACCTACTGTGCGCCAGCCCTGAGCTCAAGGAGGGCCACAGGGAGGACCCAGGCTTGGTCACCGCCCACCAGGGGCCCACTAGCAGAGAGCAGATACAGACTTGGCTACACAGTGACCCTACAGCCACCAGCTCTGCCAGAGCAGCAGAGGCCGTGGGCCAGAAAAAGCCCTAACCTGGTTTGGGGCTTCTGGAAACTTCCAATAGAAGGCAGTGCCTTAGATGGTCTAGAAGCTGAAAGCTCCCTCCCAGTGATTCCCCTGAGACCCCCACCACCCCACCACCACCACCACCACCACCACC